GCCCCTGCAACCCAGTGAGCCAGCAAGAACCCTCAGCCTGCTGCTGGGCCCACGGATTTGGGACGTGCCAGCCCTACAATTGCCATTTCCTTGAAGTAAATCTCTCTATATGTATTTATATACATGTTTCACAGGTTTTGCTCCTCTAGAGAATCTGGACTAAGGCGTTGGTGTATCAAAATAAAACTGATTTTTGCATGTTGACTGTGTATCCCGCAACTTTGCTGAATTCATTTATTAGCTCTGATGGCTTTCTTGGAGAGTTTAATCCATTTACATTTAAAGTAATTACTGGTAAGGAAGGATTTAATTCTACCATTTAGCAATATTTTTCTGTATGTCTTAAATGTTTTTTCTTCCTCAATTCCTTTTTTATTGCTTTTTTTGTATCTAGTAGAATATTTATAGTGTACTGTTTTGATTCCATTCTTCTTTTCTGTGCATTTCTTAGTTATTTTCTTAGTTGTTACTTGGGGATTACAATTAACATCTTAAACTGATAACAACCTAGTTTAAATAATGCCAACTTACTTACAATGGTGTACATACACTCTGCCCTTATATATCTCTGTCCCTCTCCCTTTCTATTATTATTGTCATAAACAACATAGATTTATAATTACTCTTTTATGCACTTGCCTTTAGAATAATATATGAAAAAAATAAGAGTTACAAACCAAAAGTACAATAATACTGACTTCTATGTTTACCTTTGTAGTTACCTTTATCAGTTTTCTTTATTTCTTCTCATGGCTTCAAGTTACTATCTAATGTCTTTTCATTTCAGCCTGAGGGACTCCTTTTAGCATTTCTTGTAGGGCATGTCTGCTGGTAATGAACTCCCTCAGCTTTTTTTTTTTAATCTAGGAATGTCTTAATTTCTCTTTCATTCTTAAAAGGTAGCTGTGCTAGATATATACAGAATTTTTGGTTGACAGTTTTTTCTTTCGGCACTTTAAATATTGCATCCCACTGCCTCCATGGTTTCTAATTAGAAACCTGATGTTAATCTTATTGACGATTCCTTGTATGTTATGATTTGCTCCTCTCTTGCTGCTTTCAAGATTCTCTCTGGTCTTTGATTTTTGACAGTTTGACTAAATGTGTCTTGGTGTGGGTCTCTTTAAGTTTATCCCTCTTGGAGTTCATTGAGCTTCTTGGATGTGTAGATTCATGTCTTTCATCATAGTTGTGAAGTTTATGGCCATTATTTCATTAAGTATTTTTTTCTGCCTTTCTATCTCTCTTCTCCTTCTAGGACTCCTATGATGCATATGTCCATATGTTTGTTTGATGGTGTCCCACAGGTCCCTCAGGCTGTTCACTTTTCTTCATTGTTTTCTCTTTTTGATCCTCAGATAATTTCAACTGTCTTATCTTCAAGTTCACTGATCCTTTCTTCTACCTGTTCTAATCTGTTGTTGAGCCCCTCTCCAGTAAATTTATTTCAGTTACTGTACTTTTGAGTTCCAGAATTTGTTTGTTTCTTTTTTATAGCTGATATCTTTTTACTTACATTCTCATTTGGTTCATGCAGCATTTTCCTAACGTCCTTTAGTTCTTTGTCCATGGTTTACTTTAACTCACTGAGTATATTTAGGACAGTTGATTTATCATCTGTAATGGTTAAGATTGTGTATCAACTTGGCTGGGCCATGATTCTCAGTGTTTATATGTGATCACCCCCAGGATGGGATCTGCTGTGAGTAGCCAGTTAGTTGAAAGGGAGTTTCCTTGGGCGTGTGGCCTGCATCCGAATGTAAGTGGATGTTTTGGCTTTGGCCTGCTTGGATTCTGCAGCTGGCTCCTGTTCATCTAATCTCCAATTCTTGGGGCATGAGCTAGCAGCTTACCTGATGAACTTGGGATCTGTCAATCTTCACAGCTTGTGAGCAAGAGCCCTGCTCTCTGCCTGCTGATCTTGGGTTTGCCAGCCCCTGCAGCTTCGTGAATTAGGAGAAGCCTTGTGGTCTTGCCTGCCTATCTTGGCATTCGTTGATCTTCACAGCCTGTGAGCAAGAGCATTGCTCTCCAACCTGCTGATCTTGGGTTTGCCAGTCCCTGCAGCTACATAAATTAGAGGAAGCCTCTATCTTGATCCACAGACCTGGGACATTCCAGGCTGTACAACTGCCTGAGCCACTTCCTTGATATAAATCTCTCTCTATATATATTTATATGCTTTACTGGTTTTGCTTCTCTAGAGAACCCAGCCTAAGACAACATCTTTGACTAGTAATTCCAATGTATGGGCTTCCTCAGGGATGGTTTCAGTCACATTTTTTTTTTCCTATAAATGGGACATACTTTCTTATTTCTTTATATATTTTATAGCTTTTTGTTGAGAACTGGAAATTCTGAGTATTATAATGTGGTGGCTCTGGAAATCTGAATTTACGACATCTCAGGGAATGCTGTCACTACTTGATGAAGGCTAAAGTAGTCTGTTTAGTGATTGCTCCAAGCTATTTTTGGAAAGTGTGTATTCTGCAGTTAGTCAGTGGCCTGACAGATTTCACCAAGAAAAAAAAAAGTATGTCATTAGGTGCTGTTGCGTCTATTTCAACTCATAATGACCCTATGTGAAAGAGTAGAACTGCCCTATAGGGTTTTCTTGGCTGTAATCTTTACAAAAGCAGATCTTCAGGTCTTTCTCTCACAGAGCCACTGGGTGGGTTTGAACCACCAACCTTTCACTTAGCAGCCAAGTGCTTAACTGTTTGTGCCACCAGGGGTCCAAAAAGAGGCACAACGACCCTTTAAGCTGCTGTCATCGGGAGAAGCCACTGCTGCTGCAAGGGCTGAAATCATGTCAATCATCTGCACCGGTCCCTCAGGGCACCGCCAAACCAACCCAAATGTACAACCCCCAATCTTTAGAGGACAAGGTCCCCTCTGCCTGCCCTAGCACCAACTCAGTCACTCTAGGAACGTGGGCCGCCATCCCCACCACTGCAGCGGGGCTGAGGAATGGAGGATGGTAGCCAGTTGGCAATTGTGGCTTGCCTATGAAAGATCAGCAGCCTCTCCCTTCATCAGGCACTCCTTTGGTTGTTACAAGTGTCCAGTCAGGATCCAGAATTCCAAAATAGTTTATTCCAATAGCTCTTTCCAGTTGAATTGTTGATTTGGTGGAGAGACTAATCCCTAGAGCCTCCAACTCCACCATTTTGCATGACATCACTCTCCATAAATGTTCTTTTAATATCTATAATTTCTTTGGTATTTCTTTACAGAAAAGTAAAAAGAGCTTTGCAGTCAACAGTCCTGCATTGGAAGGCTAGTGCTACCACTCACCATTTGGTTAAGTTATACTTCTCATATTATGTAGGCATGCCCAAAAGGGTTTGGGATAGTATGCCAAGAGATATGAAAAGGCACTGGCTAACCATGGTGATCTTCCTACATACCATATTTTCACACAAATAATGTGGGCATTCTGCGTTTTTTGGCCAACTGTGCCCTCCTCCCCCATTAGGTATTTACAGCAACATATTAAAAAAATTAGCATGCTTACAAAAATACCTCGTTGGGGGAGGGTACAGTTGGCAAAAAATGTGGAACACGCACATTATTTGTGTAAAAATATGGTAAGCATTTTTATTCAAACAATTGTTTTGGGAAAACATTTTTATGTTAAAATAAATACTATGATATTATGGAACAGAATGCCAATCGTGCATAAAGTTTTTGCATAAACCATGAGACTTTAAAGAACATCTGCAGTTCTGGTATGCTGCAATGGGTTAAGATTCCCAACATACCAAAATTAACACTCTTCTACCTTTAAGAGCATTTCAGCAGAAATGTTTGTGAAATAATGACTTTACCTTTCTAAGACTGAATTTTACATTTATAAAAATAGAAGTAAAAATACCACATGGGTTTTTGTGAAGATTAAATAAAACAAACGAAAACTCATAGCATTTACTCTTGTACCAAATAGTTCTTAAATAACTGTTATGCGTGTGTCAGAGTAGAAATGTGCTCAGTAGGGTTTTCAGTTGCTGATTTTTTGGAAGTAGATCACCAGGCCTTTCTCCCGAGGAACCTGTAGGTGAACTCAAACCTCCAACCTTTCAGTTAGCAGCTGAGCACATTAACCATTTGCACCACCCAGGGACCCCTTCAACTAACAATAGTAGTTTGAAAATATTCAGCATTTTGCCATATTTAGTGCATTCCATTTTGAAGTATTAACCTTCATATAACACTTCAGTCATCTCCTAATTTAACAAATACTAAGTCAAAATTAAACTCGATATCTGTTAACTTCTGTTAACAGATCTGTTAAGTCAAAAACAGTACAGTCCAAATGAGCACAGTCTAGTAAATTGTTAACAGATGTATAGTAACTACCTAATGTTTTAAACATCCCAATAGACATTAGGATATTAATGAAAAATAAGAAATTTTAGCTCCTAATTGTATGTGAAGTTTCTCCTTCTAGTCAAAGACTCTGCTAGAGATTTTAAAAAATATTACAGGTAAAGATAACTATAAAGATGACTAACTCAATAAATGGAAAGGCTGAGAAAAAAAAGGAGAGCAGAGTTGAAAGCATTACAGAAATTTGAGGAAGGCACATGACTTAGCCAATTATGTACAGTTGGGTTACAGTACACTCCAGGGAGCCAGAGTTTCTGATGTTAGTTCTATATTTTCACTTTCAGTATTTTTATTGTTATTAATTCTAAGTGTGGTACTACTTTTGTCATCTTAAGTGATATTTTTATCATAAAAGATTTTTCCTTTAAAGATGTAACTATATGGAATATACTTAAGAATCATTTATGTAAATCTTTCCCTAGCCCTCCAAAAATCTAATATATATTGATTTGTGGTAAGAAATATTAATTTGGCCACCAACTTTCTTAATATAAGCTTACTAAATGAAAGAAACTTGGTATTTTAATAAAGTCCTATAAAATACTTTTAAAAATTTTCAAAAAAAAGAACCATGCAAAAATGTTGAAAAAATATTAGATTTCAATACATACGAGGGATCCCTACTTGTTGTTTTCTTATTGCTGGACCAATGTTCAGTTTCTTATCCTTATAATTAAGTTTTTCTGCCTAAAATAAAAAAGGAATAAATTATTTTGTTATTTTGGCACTATTATCTGTAAAACCAATTAGGAAAAACTAGTAAGAAAGAATTTTTAAAATTCAGACTAACATTCTTTGAAGGCAGGAAAGCAAGTGAAAAGGGAAAAGTCTTGACATTAAAAAAGATATGGGTCTCAATCTTGGATCCAATGCTCTGACCGTAATTCCTCATCTGAAATATATCATTTAGTAATATATAATTCAAATTCTATTTTCTCGATTAAAACTAAATGCTACACTTGCCATAATTTAAAGTTATTACACTGAACTGCAGACCATAAACTTTTTCTACACTCTTAGTTTAGATACAATATTCAATAGAAAGGAAATAATTTCAAGTAACCTCTAGGAATCCATGTTTATAGTGTTTTTAAGGAATTTAAAATCCTATTAACACTTCACAAAAGACACAACCTCAAGTTCTTAGTTTAAACAAATAAAGTGAAAATTATATTAAAACTTCAATACCATGTCCATGTAATGATTTCGAATTTGTTCTTCTGCAAATAAAGGTTTCTCTTTAATCTTTTTCTTTTTTTTTAAACTAAATTATTTTGGAGACCAATGCCAATCTTAAATGCAAATTTAAATTTTTTTTTTTTTTTTTAGTAATTGATTACTGTATAGGAACACTGCCATTAAAATAAATACCTTAAGGGATTAGTTTCAAAGAAATAAGTTCTAAAAGTGAAGTTAAATACATCAAAAGATCTTACCTCTTGTAAAATTTTTTGTGCATCTTCTTGTGTTTCAAATGTGACAAAACCATACCTAAATAAGTACATGAATTATTTTGTTAAACTATTACATCAGTTTCATATTAAGATTTCTAAAAATTTTGTTTTCTAAGAATAGGCCACTATAGGAGTAAGTTATCTTTCTATGGTGCACCAGGATGGAAAATTAGGGGGATCATTCACAGCTTAACACTGTCACTTTCCTCTTAGAGACAGCGACAAAAAGAAAAAAAGACAAAAAAAGAAACCAGGGATATCTTGAACAGTTTTAGCCCTGAGCTGTATCTAAGGCAGGAAAGCATGACAGATTCATGTTTTGGCTTATAAACTGGGATGCAATTAATTTTAGTCTAGAGCAATAATCTCCTTTTAAAATAACAAGAGTTTGGCTTAAACAGGAATCAAAGTAGAAAAAAAAAAAACCTTAAAAAATTAAAGTAAAATTTTCAACACAGTAAAATTTCTTACATTGGTAAATGAGTATACAGGCTTACTATTTAATTATTATTAGAGATATAAATTAGTAATGCAATTATATATTAGTATATTTCTCCTTATTTAGTATGAATTAAAAAATACATACAACTCAGACCTTTCATGTGATTGTGAACTTCAGAGTGCAATTTATATAAGTTCATTTTTAAGGATACGAATACATGATATATGCCATGTCCAAAGAGTTAAAAAATAGTTAAAGAGAAAGAAATAAAAGTGTATTCCTCCAAAACGTAATTTCTATAATTATGGAAACTTAAGGAAACGTTTTTGAATAGTGCTAAATTGCTTGACTACTATTTTCTTCAATTTATAATTAATGTATTATATATCAAGTTCCTTTTTCTGACAAAGGAATTTCACTTTTTCTACTATCCTAAACTTTAAATAAGAGCTAGGGACATGTTTTTACATAAAAATTTTTGGTAGAACACATACACCACCAGTGGAAAAAGCATACAATACAGTTTACATTTTCATGTATTTTTTTAAATGATAAAATATGGATACTATCAAAATAATGCAAATTCTATCAGCCAAACAAAAGTGATACAGTCTTCCTTCATCTCAGTATTGTTTGGCAGCCTGAAAAAATATCTCATCTGTTTAAAGATAACCTCTCTGTAGGATCTCATCTCTTTCAGAATGCTCACCTGTAATACTTAATGTTTCCCACTAATATCTTTTTCTATCCACCTCATTGGTACCTTTTCTGATGCCTATAAATACTGATGTTTCGCCTCTTTCAAGAAAACAAACACAATCCTTCATTGATCTCCACTGCCTTATCCGTTTATTTTTCACTTTGTAGTCAAACGCCTTTAAATGAGTGCGCTATGCAAATCACCTTTTCCCTCCCTGAAACCTGGCTTTTGTACACACCAATCCACGAAAGCAGCCCTAAGGTCATCAGACGTTTCTAGACAAATTCTGCTGCTTTTTTCTAAATTTTTACTTTCCTTAATACAACAATAAAAATCAGTCTCATGAGAGTTATATTTCTGATATTAGTCCCCTACTAGGTCTCTACGGCACAGTCATTTCTTGGGATTGGTTGTTTTAAAATAAAGTTCTCTTTAGTCTAAAGCAGGGATACAATTCCAAATGTATCTGATCCCTTTAGCTTCTGGCTCCTTAGCTACTGGACATTAGGTCCTTAATATTAAGTGCTTGCTTAATATTAAGGTATAACATGGTCCCTCAGCCCGTGCAAGAACAGCTTCCCGACAAATAAAGGAATACTATAGTGTCCCCCTCCCTTCAAAATACACACTCACAGGCACACATACCCATTAGCGAGCGCATGTGAGAAATAGAGGGAAAGAAGAGGAGATGAAATTGTTAAAAAAAAAAAAAAAAAGGGAACCAAAGTAAGTTAGTAAATAAAACCTAGTTACCTAATAAAATACAGTTGGTAATTCTATGTATTATCTTTAGTGATACTAACCCTTTGGACACTCCAGCTCTGTCATTGACAATCTTCACTTCTTTTACAGACCCATACTGGGAAAAAAATTTTCTTAAATCATTTTCATTTGTCTAATGGCATAAAAAGAAAATATGAAAAAAAAACATTTTTTTAATTGAAAAAAGATGAAACAACTCATGATTGTTTTGAAGACATAAAAAATTATATATAATAATGATGCAAGAATACCTCTCATTGTAAAAACAATGTGTGAAAGTATTAGGTTATTAAAATAAACACCTTGCTTTATGTAGAAAGTATATTGTTAAACTGTTACTATATCAGTCAAAAATTTTTAAGCTGAATTATTTTAAAACCACAAAGAACTCACTATTTAAAGGACTCTTTCAGTGGTTCTTGTTCTCTAGTTGGCTAGTTTTTCAAAACAATTTGGATTAGGCATGGCTATAAATACATATTAAAACAATTTGGATTAGGCATGGCTATAAATATATACTGGAGCCCTGGTGGCGCAGTAGTTAAGAGCTCAGCTGCTAACCAAAAAGTTGGCAGTTCAAATCCACCAACCAGTCTTGGAAACCCTATGGGACAGTTCTACTCTGTCCTACAGGGTCGCTATAAGTCGGAACTGACTCGACAGCAATGGGTTTGGGTTGGGTTTATAAATATATACTAAGTGCATACTACTACTGACTCTTTTGGCTTAGGGAGGCCCATAGTTGTGGTAGCAGAACTAGGTTATGTTGGCCTACACCAGTTGCTCTATTTTAATCAGCATAGCCCCCAGAAGAGTTGGATCTTAGGAAAGGTATATATTTGCAAAAGTAGTTGAGCTCAACTTGTGATAACAAGGAGGGTCTACAAGATTTAGTTATATAATTTACCTGTACTCAATATCCATTTCAGCTAAATACAGACATTACGATATTAAAAATTAAAATTTGAATCATAATTAGACTTACAATGTACAAGATATCTACAAAGATAGTTTTGGTGTATTTGGTTTTAACTGAAATACTCTTATATTAGACTAATATCACCTTTTCCCAAAGTATTCACCTTAAATTCACTGTAATTTAATTTTGTTTCAGCTATAACTGTTTGCCCCCAAGAGTAATTTTATATGTCCCCAGAAATTTTTTTTTTTTAAATTTATACACATGGGAAAAGAGCCATGCCTAACAGCAGAGCAATGCCTCTTGAGTTCTACTGCTACCTTACTTATATATATTATTGTTTTTTCAGTTGGTAAAACAAACCAAACCTGTTGCCATCTAGTCAGTTATAACTCATAGCGACCCTATAGGACAGAGTAGAACTGCCCCATAGGGTTTCCAAGGAGTGGTTGGTGGATTCAAACTGCCAACCTTTTGGTTAGCAGCTGAGTTCTTAACCAGTGCACCAGCAGGGCTCCAGTTGATAACATAAAGCCTACTAAACTGGATGATGATAAACACTGATTTAATCTAAGATGAACTGACTGCCTTTTATTTCAATAAACACATGATAAAATCAACATTAGAATAAGAACTTATGTTAGAAAGTTGAAAACACATTACTTCAAACTATTCTGTAGTAAAGAATCACTAACTGAATTTTACAGCTCAATTTCTTCGATGAGAAGTAAGGACAGGGAAAGATGTCAGTGATAATTAAATGATGATTAAATATTAAGAGGGATAGGCTGTAGGTGTCTAAATATAAGAGGTTTAAAAAAATTGAGACTGCTTGCTACTACAGTAAACTATTCCCCTGCTTCAAAAGGGCATAAGGGAGAGTGCCGTAGCAGTTACCTTAAAGCTATGATTGCACTGTAATAATGAACTCCAAAATTAATATTGTAGATGATGGGCTTCAGTAACTGAGACTACCATACAAATTTTATATTTATTGATGATGTATTTTTAAAAATATACTAAACTATTATAATGTAAATTAATTCTGAACAAAGAATACCCACATTGAGTATTTTTGGACAGCCATTAATATGTTCTATAGAAACAGAAAATCTTTTTAAAAATAAGCATTTCATGAGAAATCTTTTGTTTTCATTTTTACTGAAATAATCACATACTTGCTTGCGAGTCATTATTTTGGCTAATACAGTAAAAGCATAACATTTTCTTGTACAGGAAAAAAGTAATTCATTTAAATTGTGACAGACTGATTATATGGCAGTAATCAGTTGCTGTCCAGTCTGTTTCAACTCATGGCGACCCCATGTGTATGAGATTAGAACTGCGCTCCTAGGGCTTTTCAATTGCTGATTTTTGGGAAGTAGATCACCAGGCCTTTCTTCTGAGGCACCTCTGGGTGAACTAGAGCCTCTAACCTTATGGTTAGCATCTGAGTGTGAAAACCACTTGCAACAGCTAGGGACTCCTATGCAAAAATAGTGAGTTATAAAGATCCTACTCTAATGGCACAAGGATTTCTTAAATTAAAAAATACAACTCTTCCTGTAATTTCCAATACGTAATATGGAAGTTTGGAAATCTTTCTATATATCTATTTGGAAGTAAGGGGATTTCACTTACAATATTCAAGCATACCTTTCTTCTACGTAGTCACCACTACCTCCTATATGGGAGTGCTATAAAATATCTCACAAACTATGTTTCTTTAAAAGTATGAAATGGCTCATTATATAATTTAAATACTATAAGATGTATTTAAGATGCTTTATTATGACAAGGACACAGGATATTTTTGGCGATCCAATTCTGAATTAAATCATAGAAAGCAATTTGCTCAGGAAATTCTTGAACATTGGGTTGCCATGAGTTGGAACAGACTGGACAGCAACTGGTTATTTCATAAAACTGAATTGTTTTTTAATTATGTCTTCTTTTAAAAATTATGATCACACATTATTTGGGCTACTGGAGTATTATTCAAGAAAGTATAATATATTAGTGTAGCATGGTGAAATGAAGAATACACAGTCTAGTATTCTCTCTGCCACTAATTAGGCAGGAGCCTATGTCATGTCAATGAGCCTCAGTTTCCTGGTATGTGAAATTGCACAATCATATATGCCCTACTTTAATTACATGGTTGTTGAAAAGATTACTTATATTAAGACAATTTGAAACCTACTGATAATTATGCAAATATATTATTTTTATAGCTACACAAAAAAAATTTCTGAGAAATAAAACAACTTCTAATATAAAAAATATACTATGTTACATGCATAAATAGATACCTTAAAGTCAATTCCTCCTACAAAGATGCGATTAGGGATCACTGTTCCATATCTTGGGGCACTCGTTGGGTTATTCAACAGCACAGGTGACACAGGATTAGGGGATGGAGATAATGAATCTGTTTGTGTCTGATTTGGTGTTTGCTGTAAAATAAAATTCTTTTAAACTTTTAGCACTGACATTAAGTTTTATGCAGGCTAAGACAATGTATCTTTCAAAAAGACAAGTCATTTAGACAAAATTTAGTATTTTAGACTTTACTTTTATCTGAATATTATCAGATTATAATTAGAGCTAGTAGCTTTTGGGGACAACATAAAATATAGTAAATATTTCTCAATTACAATCTACTCAATTACAGAAAAAATCTTATGGAGAAATATTAAACTCAAAAAGAATTCTGAGAAAGAGAAAAGCAGCCCTGGACAGATGGGAGCTGGCCTGGCACAATCAATGAGGCCTTGATGTTATTTGGAGTTGGCCTGGCCAACAGCTAGCCTGTGGTGTTCTCTTGTTAAGAGAATACCAACATCAGACAAGGTCACTCTGTGATTGTGATGGATCAAATAAAAACAAAACCATTCCATAATTATGTCTGAACACTTAGAAAAACAAGAGTATTGCCCAAACAACAAAAATGACCAAGCATTCCTCTGTCCTGGCTGATTTGAGTGACTGCTCCTTCTTTTTTTTTTTTCCTAACCAATCATAGCTTTAGCCTCAATACATTTTTATTGCTTTCTAGATAAGAATTCTCAACATACCCAACCATAGAATTCCCACGTCCTGACAACATGCAATCCAGCGCAAAGCCCTTCTTTCTTAAGCCTTCTACAAAAATCACGTAACATAAGCCTAAGTACTACAATAAGTTATTTCTAACACCCTCTTACTGAGGGCCCCCATGGCTCCCCATGGTGTATGTCCTCCCTTGTTGCAATGAGTCAATAAACCCAACTTTATTCAACTACAGGTATATTCCTAGTGGTTTCTGGCTAAAGGGCATTAACAAGTTAATAGAGCAACTCTGACAAGTTTAAGTTCACTGTTTTTTAGCTCTAAAGTAAAATTTTTAAATGCCCCTGTCAATGTGAAGATTGGACTGGTTTGGTAAAGAAATGTTATTTTATAATTCATTGATATAACTCTTTATACCAAAGAACTCAGCTCAGTATGTATTCATATTGTGACAATTCTAACTCAAAGAACCTAATTTAAATTTTAATAAGTATATATTAATATACAAGCCTTTGTACAATGGCAAGATAGTAGACTCTTAAGGTCCATCTGAAACAAACAAGACTTGAGAATAGAATTTTAAAGAGAAAATATTCAACAACTTGCAAATTATTTTCCTTCAGGGAATATTATTTGGAATTCTGAGTCAGTCTAACATATTAAATGACTGCTTCAAAAAATTGAAGTTCATGATTCTAATGCTCTGAGAAACAAACACATGAAAACAAATAGGGAGGGGAGCTGTTGTTCTCTTTCACATTTGTTCTCCTCTTTCACTTCATTGGCCAATAACACCATCATCCCTGTCTTAATGTCTGAGAGATGTACAGAGAAATAGCCAGTGGTGACTATGGGGCTACAGGTGGAACCTCACAGGCTCTTTCCTATCCAGTCTTAAGGGTGGGGGGTGGGTACATGTGTCCTAAGAAGGGAGTTCATAGATACACATCTTTAAGGCACAGAAAAGCTACCACATTTAATAATTTCTATGTTGTAGTGTCTATGATATAACCTTGACTCTCTATTTCTTTACAGAGTGTAGACATTACCTATTTGCTAAATTAACTAAATGTCTTCACAAAATTCTCTTCTTAAAAACAAAGTAAGAGTTCAATGGATGAACTCATTTATTCTCAAATTTCAGTAAATGTCAAGTCCCATTATTTTTCATTGAGAGAGAGATGAAATAAATGGAAATGAACAGAGTGCTTTATTTCCAATTTTGAGAAACTAAAGGATTAAAAAAAAAAATCCTCATTGAAAAAAGAAAAACTTCAACTTTTTACACCCAATTCATGTCGTTCTCCAGTTTCTAAGGGTCCTGCTTTACTGTGGATTTCAATTGCTTTCTTTTCCCCCTTACCAGTTATCACTTTCTACCATACTATAATATTTACTTATTATATTTATTGTCATCTCTTCCACTAGAATGTAATGTAGTATTCACGAGGGCAGCATCTAAAGAAGTGATGGGTACATATCAGGTGCTCAGTAAAGATTTGTTAAGTGAATGAATTAATAATTTCTTTAGGAGAGCCTGCTATCCAGACTGGGAACTGAAGAATACAGGATGAATAATAGCCTAGTAAAAACTGCAATTAAAAAGCCTCAAGCAGAGGCAACATTTAAGTTCCTTAGAGAAGGATAGAGATGCATTGAGTTAAACAGTAAAAAACAGTCACAAGTTCCACTGGCAATAATTTTGCAAGATATGAAAACATCTAAACAGGTGATACTATTGGGCAGCTCTACTCTGTCCTATAAGGTCACTGTGAGTCGGGATCGACTCAACGGCAATGGGTTTATCAGGTTAGAAGTAAGGGTTTGCGCTTAATAAAACTTCCAGCAATAATCAAAAACCAAACCTGTTGCTAACAAGTCTATTCCAACTCGCAGCGACCCTATAGGACAAAGTAGAACTGCTCTACAGGGTTTCTAAGGAGTGGCTGGCGGATTCGAACTGCCAACCTTTTGATTAGCAGCTGAGCTCTTAACTACTGCACCACCAGGGCTCCTCCAGCACTAAACAATTTATTAAAGTTCACCTCCGAGGTAATGTTATCTCACTGCCTTCTCCCCTTGAAAACTACAAAATCTGTAATCTACTTTGCAAATGAAGACAACAGGAAGAAGGTGGGCTAACCGTCGCAGTCACGGCCTCGGTGCTCCTTCCCCTGCCAGGCCAGCAAGTTGAAGCGCTGGGGAAAATGGCCGCAGAGACACTTTCCTCGGGTTCTCTCGGGTCATTGTGAACTTGAGCACTGACACGAGGATCCACCTCCTCCCCACCAAAGTGCGGGAGGGAAAAGAAGGCTAACCAACGAGAAATTTTGCTCCGCAAACCCGCCAGAAGCAGTGGCGGGAACCCTCAACGGCACCGACCCGGAGTCGGCCTCGTGCGCAGCAGGCCCTGCGGGCCTCGCGTGCCACGTGCTGATTGGCCGCCGGTGTGTCGCAGGGTGGGGCGCGGTGACAAGTTGCCAGGATCCTAGGGTCCACAGGGCCTCCTGACCCTCCTCCCTGGGCAGGCCCTGACTGGCTCCGGTGCTCCTGAGCTAGGGTCCTTGGCCGATATGAGCCACAGGACCCCTTCCGCCCCCCACGTCTCTCAGGCCTCCTGGTCCCCACCGACCAGTTGGGGAGAGGAGGCATCGGCTGCTGTGGCTGCTCCTGGCCCTGGGCGGCTGGGCGGACTTCCGGCGGAGGGAGAGAGTGTCAAAGACGCTGCCAAGCCCAGTTTCGGCGGGAAAGCGGTTTATTTGCCCGGTGCACATGGCTAAATCTCCAGTCGCCTCTCGAAACCTACCAGCCATTTCCGAGGTTCCCCAGTCTGCCCTCACCCAGCCTAGGTCTTGCGGCCGCACCTTTCCAACCCCACGATACGACCCTACGATACAACCTGACCGGGCCTGCAGGCAGGCGGCTCTTTGCGACTGTCTTTGGGGTACCCTGGCCATGTTTCTTCCCAACAAAATAACAGGAGTTTGGAATCTAAACCTTCCAGCCCCTCAGGGATGGGGCCCACATTGCTCATTCTCTCTGACCCCCACCTCCCACCCCTGGGCCCCGGGGCCCTGACCGTCGTACTCACCGCCCCGGACTCGGTCTCCATCTTCTCCGAGCTTCAAAAGCGAGGGGCAAAAGAACAGAAACCTAAAGTTTGAAAGCGCCTTCACACCAAGGAAGCAACACCACGTTTCCCAACAGGGGACTCTCTCCCCCAGGCGGCGACCGCGGCAGTGGTAACTGCAGAGGCGCAGGCTTGGACCTGGGGCCTGAACCTGCCACCTGGTGGAGGGAGGGGCAGAGAGAGGCAGGCGGCGTCGCCTCCGGCGGCGGATGGTGGTGCGGCCGGGCGCCGTAAGTAGGGGAGGGACGCGGGCGGGCGAATTTCGGCTTGGCCCGGGTCGCGCAGCTGGGACGTCTCAGGGGCAGAGCGCGCAGCTGGTCGGGGCGGGCGTGGGGTGTGCGAGTCGAGGGCTTGGTTCTGGGGACACTCTCACTTGCTTTCAGACGGCTGGAGAGGAGAGAGCGAACGGTTATGCAAAGCTCCATGCACCGCACGCCTTTCCCTCTTCTACCCTTTAAAGACGAAGAGTCGGCCTCTGGGAGTGGAAGGCTTCGAGAGGCTGAAGTGACCCCAAGGCTTTACTAAGGAGCGAGAGGCTGGTGGAGGGTCGACTTTCGAAGGCTGGTGCAAAGCGAGGAGGGAAGTTTCCAGAGTTAAACTCTGGACCCTGGAGCCTGACGCGCCAAACTCGGGGACTCTCGAGAAGCCGCGGAGCCGCGATGCACCTGTTGTCGCCGTCACTCATCCCTGCCGAGCGGGCGGGGGCAGCGCTGACGACTTGGCCAGGCAGGCTGCCTCTCAGTCCCGTCCGGGCTCCGGCGTCCGCCCCAGGCCAGCGCCCTGGGCCGCTCCCGTGGGGGCTCGACCCAGCTGAGCACGGCCTGGCTGGGGTACAGCCGCGGGGACAGGTCCGCGATGAAACCATTCACGCTCATGAGGATGTGAGGATTATGCAACATGGCTGGAGAGGCTCTAGCTTCCAATAGGCGTAGATCTCCTTGAAAGAAGACTGCTGTGTAAAGAATATTTCTAAAAGGTAGCTAAGACTTTATATATATAGAGATATATCCATATATCTATATATATATAGATATGTTCCAAAGAAAAATAATGAAATTTGACTTTTATTCAAATTTGAGAACAAGTAAGTTCATCCATTGAACTCTAATTTTGTTTTTAAGAGGAGAATTTTGCGAAGACATTTATTTATATATATAAAACCATGTTATAAATAATTACAACTAGGTAAGCTTACGCAATAGGAGCCCTGGTGGGGCAGTGGTTACACCACTTGGCTGCTAACCAAAAGGTTGCAGTTAGAACCTACCAGCCACTCCGTGGCAGAAAGATGTGGCAGTCTGTAAAGATTTACAGCCTTGGAAACTATAGGGCAGTACTACCCTGTCCTGTAGGGTTACTACTCCACGGCAGTGGGTTTGGTTTGGTTTTCTGAAGCTTATGCAATAATAATAATTATTATTATTGTAGGTACCATTTATCAAGAGATCACTTTGTTCCAGGCATAATGCTTTTTAATCACTATCATTTAGTCATCTCATTCTCACGGCAGCCCCTCAGACAGATACTCCTATTATCGTCATTTTATAGGTGAAGAAATGGTGGTTTGGAGGTTAAGTAACTCGGTCAAGGTTTAAAATTACAGGAGATTTAACCGTGGGTCTGTCTGAGCTCAGTTCATGATCTTAACCATTTTGCCATATATTTTTAAGGAGTCAGCAGCAACAACTGTTAAAAGTTACATCAGTAATAACTTTTTGTACTCTTTATTGCAAAAATTTGAGTTTGGGTTGTTTTACTTCCAAGATAAACGGTTAAAATATGAGAGTGACTTTGTTAATTTTTAGTCTGTTCAAAGGTTAGCTGTTCTTCATATTATTTACCAAAAATAAACTGGGAAACATACTTTTTGTTCATTGAATAAATTTCAGCTAAAGCACTCTAGAAGTCATTATAAATTACTGGATGCAATGTAAGCTCATTTTCTCAGATTTTGTTCCTGTGGAAACAGAGAATACAAATTCAAATTAAAACTCATATTCTAGAGCAAAATCATTTTACTATTCAATACCATGAGAACTGATCTTCCTTGGGCACTTTTTCCAGTAGAAATGATGGATTTGAATAGATGTTACTATACTCTTTTTACCCAAGCCTTTTTTTTTTAACTAAAAACATTTGTTTTTAAAAATTTTTACTACTGTTTTAATACAGTTCATTTTTAGAGAAGTTTTAGGTTTACAGAAAGTACAGAGTGTTCCCGTATTCTGCCTCCCCCCACGCCCCTGCACACAGTTTCTCTTATTATTAACATCTTGCATTTGTGTGGTATATTTGTTACAATTGATGAACCAATATTGATACTGAAGTCTGTAGTTTTTCTTAGGGTTAATTCTTTGAAATCACTTATTTTTGAAGACTGTATTCTCTAAAAAATTATTCACCACAGTAGGTATTCAGTCTGACACACTAACCAACAAAATTTAGAGAACAACGGTATTTCAAGGCCTGTGCTGGGTGCTATGCGAATATACTATTCTTTTCTAACTGTTAATTCTTACAACAAAAAGTATTTGTGGTTTTAAAACTTGGATAAATCACTTACTTTATATAATTCAATTCAACTTTTCAGACATTTATAGGGTTCCTATTATTTGTAATACATAATGCTATGACCGCTTGTCTGTCAGTTTGTCATACTGTGATGGCTTGCATGTTGCTATGATGCTGGAAGCTATGCACTGGTATTTCAAATACCATCAGGGTCACCCATGGTGGACAGGTTTCAGTAGAGCTTCCATACTAACACAGACTAGGAAGAAAGCCAATGAAAACCCTATGGATCACGACAAAATATAGTCTGATATAGAGCTGGAAGATGAGCCCCTTTGATTGGAAGGCACTCAGAATACATAGTGGCTGTAGCAATGGACTCGACATACCAACAATTGTGAAGATGGTACAGGACCTGGCAGCATTTCATTCTGTTGTACAAGGCATCACCATGAGTTGGAGCTGACTTGACAGCAACTAACAATAACAACATGGGAGATACAAAGATAAACAGGATCAAACCTCTTCCTAAAGATATTTATAATCTAAAACCAAAAACCTGTTGCTGCCGAGTTGATTCTGACTCATAGCGACCCTATAAGACAGAGTAGAACTGTCCCATAGGGTTTCCAAGGCTGTAATCTTTAGGAAGCACGCTGCCACATCTTTGTCCCACCGAGCAGCTGGTGGGTTCGCACAGCTATTTCAGTTAGCAGCTGAGCTCTTAAGCACCGTGCCACTAGGTCTTATTTACAATTAAAAAACCAAAAAACGAAATTGTGGAGTTGATTTTGACTCACAGCGACCCTATAGGAGAGAGTAGAGCTGCCCCATAGGGTTTCCAAGGAGTGGCTGGTGGATTCGAACTGCCATCCTTTTGGTTAGCAGCCATAGCTGTTAACCACTGTACCACCAGGGCTCCATTTACAATCTAGAAGGGGAGAAAAGATAGAAAATTCATAATAATAATGATGTTGAAAATATGCATACGATAAATACAAGCAGAATAGGATAAGTGATATATGAACTGCCATCAAAGGTCTGTGGGAGCATAGAAGATGGCATCATGGAGCATGGTGTCCAGGGCTGGGTAAAGGCACCATCATGGCTGGAATACTTGTTTGGGCAGAAAGTAGGAAGAAAGCTATTGAGCTTCTATCATGTACTCTCTCTCTCACTGGAAATCTTAGTGTTAGAGAGGTAAAGTGACTCACCTAATCACACTGTTAGTAAGTGCTGGAGGCAGTTTTCAAAACTTAGTTCCATTTGACTCCATTGCCCATGCAGAGTTCACTCTACCAAGTTATTTATCCCACTGTAATAAGGAGCTAGAATTTTATTCTGAAGACTTTTGCAAAGAGAGAGCCATTGAAAGTGATTGAACCATGAAGTTATATAATCAGCCAAAATTTGGGAAGATAGTCTCAGACCAGAGAGTTTTTGAGGGATAGAGACTAGAAACAGAATTAAATTAGGAGAAGGAAATTGCTCAAGTGAAAAGTAATGGGGGCCTGAACAAAGGCAGCAACAGTGAGGAAAAAAAAAGCAAAACACTGGGAAAAGTTTAAAAAGATATCATTAAATGCGAGGACATGAGACTGTTGGGCATGGGTGGTAATGGAGAGGGGTGGCTGAGGGTCATTCAGAAGTCCCAAGATTCTAATATTAGAGATGCTATTTAGAAAATAAAAAAAAGGCACAGAAAATTAGGTGGAACAAAGAAACTGTGAACAGCACACAAAAAAAGACATCAAAATGATAGCACTAAACTCATACCTATCAATAATTACACTGAATGTGAATGGACTAAATGCATCAATAAAAAGACAGAGAATGGCAGACTGGATAAAAAAACACGATTCGTCTATATGTTGTCTACAAGAGACACACTTTAGACTTAAATACACAAACAAACTCAAAGGATGGAAAAAAATATATCAAGCAAACAACACTCAAAAAAGAGCGGGAGTGGCAATATTAGTCTCTGACAAAATAGACTTTGAAGTAAAATCCACCACAAAGAGTAAGGAAGGACACTAGATAATGATTAAAGGGTCAATACACCAGGAGGACATAACTATAACAAATATTTATGCACCCAATGACAGGGTTCCAAAATACATAAAAGAAACTCTAACAGCACTGAAAAGAGAGATAGCTCCACAATAGTAGTAGTAGACTTCAACACACCACTTTCAGTGAAGGACATAATATCCATAAAGAAGCTCAACAAAGACATGGGAAAGCTAAATGCTACAATCAACCAACTTGATCTCATAGACATACACTGAACACTCTACCCAACTGCAGCCAGGTATACTTTCTTTTCCAATGCACATGGAACATTTTCCAGAATAGACCACATATTAGGCCATAAAGCAAGCCTTAACAAAATCCAAAGCATCAAACTATTGCAAAGCATCTTTTCTGACCATGAAGCCATAAAAGTAGAAATCAACAACACAAAGAGCAAGGAAAAAAAATCAAAGACATGGAAACTGAACAACACCTTGTTCAAAAACTACTGGGTTATAGAAGAAATTAACTATGGAGTAAAGAAATTCATAGAATCAAATGAGAATGAAAACACATCCTACCAGAACCTTTGGGACATAGCAAAAGCAGGGCTCGGAGGTCAGTTTATAGCAATAAATGCACACATCCAAAAAGAAGAAAGGGCCATAATCAAAACATTAACCCTACAACTGGAACAAGTAGAAAGAGAGCAGCAAAAGAAGCCCTCAGTTGTCAGAAGAAACGAAATAAGAATTAGAGCAGAATTAAATGAAATAGAGAATAAAAAAACAGTTGAAAGAGTTAACAAGACCAAAAGTTGGTTCTCTGAAAAGATTAACAAAATTGATAAATTGGCCAAACCGACAAAAGAAAAACAGGAGAGGAAGCAAATAACCCGTATAAGAAATGAGATGGGTGATAGCACAACAGACCCAACTGAAATGAAAAGAATCATAACAGAATACTATTAAAAATTGTACTCTAACAAATTTGAAAACCTAGAGGAACTGGAAAAATTTCTAGAAACTCACTACCTAGCTAGAC